AAAAGACATTGGTGACTTGCAAGTGTTACAAAACATTGCTTTTCTTTCAAGAGTACCAGCTGATTTCAAAACAGCCAGAGCTTTGCAGGTGGATGCCCACTGTACAAGAGGAGTGCCAAAAGGATTGCTGTCTAAATTGGGAAATTGGGCAGTAGTAGCACAGGCAAGGATGAGTGACCCTGGTTATATTCCAGATTGGACTGGAGTCACTTGGGCCTTGCCCCAGTGCCAGTGATTACAGATTGCCTCCCAGAGAAGTCATCAGCTCTGTGCCTTCTGCACAGCCTGGGTTTGTAAATGCATCCTGTCCCTGTGCTCTGCCTGCCTGCTTGTTCTGTTTCAGGCAAAGTATCAAAGAACAGAATTCTGCACACAATTGCCTCTGCATGTGCTTCCCTGGGACTCAGCATTTGTGGCAGTTCTACTTTAGAGATTATAGATTTGGGCACAGACTCGTGGCACTGCTGGAATGCCAGTCCAGGGTCAGAGGAGAGGATGTGACAGAGATGATGTCTATCTGCAGAAGGAGAGAAAAAAAAGAAGAGTTGGTAGAATGAAAGGCTTTGGGTAACTACAAATTTTGGATTCCAGACAAAGGTAAACCTCCTACTGGTTCCTAGCTCTCGGTGTTTTGGAACATTTATGCCATTATCTGTTCAAAAGATTCTGTTTACATCAGCTTGAATTTAGAATTTGGATGATAGGTTCCCTCCATAAAGGTTCTGTATGGTGGAATTCACTCCCTTCCCCAAAGTGCAATTATTCAGGAATATAACACAACACATAGACAGAGGGGGAAAAAATAGCTATCTGACACTAATGACCTTACTTTTAGTATGCAAAATGTCCAGATAAATGAAGGCAATGGGGGAGGTGACAGGGAAGATGACTACTGGGAGATTTGACACAGAGGTGACCTGTTTGCTCCTCTGACTACTGTGGAGCTAATTAAACACTGCATCCCTAGAAATAAAGTGCTGGAGAGAGGGTGAGTAGTCAGTTGCTCTCACTGCATATGTCACTTGGGATTATGATTATACCCATTGCTAAAAGGCAGTTGAATAAGCAAATGTTGTTTTGCAGGAAGTAGGAAAAAAATTCCATCTATTCCACAGCAAGACATGAAATGTATAATTCCAGTAATGAGCACTGGAAGTATGAGCTATGTTTTAAGCCATTTGGGTTATATTTTAATGCTTCCTTCCCCTGTTCTGCTTAAAGAGAAGGAAAAATTATTTTATGTAACAAATGCATTTTGTTGCTATAACAGTGAATATCTGGGTCTTTATGCTGAAATCTGTCTTGATGCTTTAAGGCTTTGGGGCTTTGTTAATTTTGTTCCCAAACTGCTCCATCACTGGCCAAACTACCTCAGCCCCGCACTGTGGGCAGTGCAGATCACCCAGCTGAGGATTTCTGCAGGGAATGTGTTTAAATCTCAGCAGATTTTGATACATTTTTGGGTTTTTGTCCTCACGACTCATTTTTTCCCCTGGATCTGATGGGAGTGCCACAAAAACCCAAACTCTGAAACCCTTGTGCCCATAACCATGGCTGTAAGGTGTCTGCTGTTGGTATCACCACTGTGAGGTCACATTCGTGTGCTCTCAGATCTGGGGTGTCCCAGGGGCTTCAGTCCAGTGTGAATGCTCCAGCTGTGGGCACATCGTATGGAGACCAGAGCTGCCATTCCTTGTGAGGGATGTTTTCAGTGTTTGCCTTGTGCTAACTCACTGGGATTAAATTTTCTCCTGTTTTCTGCTTCTAAATGCTGATTCTGCAATTGCTTTCAGCACTCTCCTGTGTCCTCTTCCAACACCTATCTAAATCAGACAACCTCTTACCTGTTTGCTGCTCCCTCCCTTGGCAGTGTTTCTGCTGTGTGGCTCTCCCGGTGCAGCTCTGTGCTTTCCCTGTCTGTTATCACAGGTGGCACAGCTCCAGGAGCACCAGTGAAACCCCTGAGAGGCTGAAGGAGAAGTTGGAAAGCAGATCAAGAGTCCTGTGACAGCCACAGTTAAATTTTCTCCTGTTTTCTGCTTCTAAATGCTGATTCTGCAATTGCTTTCAGCACTCTCCTGTGTCCTCTTCCAACACCTATCTAAATCAGACAACCTCTTACCTGTGACAGCCACAAATCTGCTGATTAACTGTTATTCATAAATGAGGCACCACAACCTGAGCTTTTTTTTTTACCCCTTTTCTTCTTTTGATGAAAAGAAGGAGAGAAGAAAACGCCACTTCTTGCCACGTCTTTGGGGCAATTCTCACTATCCAGTTTGCAGCAGGGTTAGAGCTGATACTCCAAGATTATCCAGAGCACTCTGTGCTGCTGCCATAGGCACCTTCTGCAGTGGATGTTCAGCCAAGCCCTTGCCAGACAAACTCCATATGCTGGAGTGTTTTTCCAGAGGCTGTTTCAGCCATGTGTGTGTTCTTTTAGCTGCTGTAGTGCAACTGAGTCAGTCTGTGGCTGAAGTCTGAGGTCAGCAGTGCCACCTCCTCTTGTTTCAGTCAGTGCAGGGAGCTGATGTGTGCACAGTTATTGAGAAAGGAATGTATTCTTTTGTGTTTCTTACAACGGAGTAGAATCATAATGTATGGCAATAAATATCTTAATTTTTACAGGAATCTTCCTGGACTACTTTTTTATAGACTGTTCAGTTAAATCTTTCTCATTTTCACAAATTCACATCAACAGTGGTATGGCTTAATTTGTACTACTGTGCTATATGTAGACACTCAAAAGGTGCTTAATTTCCATTGGAAATATTCATATGCAAATGTTCCATATTTTTGAAGTGGTTGCAGTTCTGCTGAGGAGGTAGATCCGCCTCTATTATACCACACAACAGATCTCTTTTATATTTAGATTTTTACTCTGAGAAGAGAGCAATGCACTCACTGAAAATTGGTTGAATACCAAAATTAAGTGCTAGCTTTGGACTGTCAAAATTAGATATTTTAAAATAAGGAATTAATAGCTGCCAGTTTCTGTCTCGTTGGTGTTGGCATGAGGCAGAGATGCTGTCAGGCCTGAGGCTGCAGTCTCTGCCAGTTGTCTGTGCCTTGTTGCTGGCCTGGCCCTGCTCTTTCTGTGCATCTTGGTGAGGTGCTGTATTTCTGTCATGGGTTTCAATGAGGGAAGACATCTCTGCATCATGTGGCTCAGTGCTGCTGGTCCTGTGGCAATGGAGAGCTCTGTTAGGAGAATAATCCTCTGGCTTTATGAAAAGGAAAAAAAAATAGTGCTTTTAAATATCTCTGGAGAACAAGTTTGGTTTGGGATTTATTTTGTTTGTGCTGTATTTCTGTCATGGGTTTCAATGAGGGAAGACATCTCTGCATCATGTGGCTCAGTGCTGCTGGTCCTGTGGCAATGGAGAGCTCTGTTAGGAGAATAATCCTCTGGCTTTATGAAAAGGAAAAAAAATAATGCTTTTAAATATCTCAAGTTTGGTTTGGGATTTACTTTGTTTGGTTGTTTGTTTTTTTTTCTTAAACTACTGTAAATTATAGAAAGATTTTTGTATTCTTGAAATTCTCTTTAATGTTTGCAGGATAAATATAATTCAGCAGGAGGCATTGATTTTAAAAAGTATAAATTCTGGTCTGTTGCAAGACTGGAAGTAAAATTTTAGTTTTATTTCTTACATTGAACCATTCCCTCTTGGTCGAGGGCTGGCACTGCTGAGTCAGAGTAGTGCTTTGAGCTACTCCCAAACTGGTGGCAGAACCTGCATGATTTAACACAGCTTGTAATCTTCAAGGGTCTTTTGTTTGCCATCTAGATATTTTGAGATATGTAGAGTTTTTTCAGTTGTTTGCACGAATAGACTTACTTTGCTTTTAAACTGAGTAATTTCCATGGAGAGAAATACTTCCAAGATGGCAAAGAGTTAATATTGCTGTAAGAGGAAACTCTGGAAGTGTCTTTTTACTGTAAATGGATGGGCAGACATTCATTATTTTGGACTTAAATCCTCCATTTGATGCAAAAACCCCTTGTCATGGGTCAGGTTTACAAGCTGCTGAAAGACTGAAAATCAGAATGATTGGAAGCAAAGCTATCAATGTGAGGAGATGTGTCAGCTCTTGCAGGGGATGGGATTGCAGATGTTCATAGGAAGAACACTAAATCCTTGTCCTGACATGAATTTTTATAAACCTTTCTACAAGCAAGAGGAAACAAATAAGGTAATACACTTGTTTCAGTATTCATCACATTTGGCTCAGCTAAAAGTAGTGATTAGATATTGTAATACATCATAGCATTAGGTTTTATGGGTGGAAAAATGACTGATATCATATGGAATATGAACTCTGAGAAATTTTCCTGCCCAACAACAGAATGACACTGGAGCCATTCATAGTCAGAATGCTTTTTCTCTGTGTTTTGTTTGTTTTAAACTGCAGTATTGATGGGGAGCACAGAAACAGCAGCAAAAGCACCCAACAGTTGGGGCTTATAGGGTTGGGATATTCAATGTTCAGATTTTAAATTCCTACTCTGAATCATAAACAACATGAGGATTTGGAGTATGCCAGGCAATTAGAATGGCAGCCTGACAGCTAGGTTGGAAAGGTTTGCTTCAAGGTGTGATTTTAATTTTTTTTTTAAATTTTTGAAGTCTTCATGGTCTCGCTGGATAGGATCCTGCTCTTTGTGAGACAAACAGTTCATATTTGTGGGTTATGTACTTGCAGCAATGTATGTGTCCATCCATAATGAATGCCTGCAGTAGGACACAAACACAAAATAACCAGGAAATATAACATTTTATTGTAAATACTGTAATGATTCCATGTCAGGGGATAGAATATAAGAAAATAAAGACAGTGCAGAAAGTGATCTCACCCCTAAGGAGTTGCAGCTGGGCCAATTACCAAAGATTAGGAACAGGCCTGACTTTAACAGGCCACAGCTGTGACCAGTGAGGAGAAGAGTGCTATAAAAGAGTGGGTTGGGTGGTTGAGAGGGAACTGGGCTCAGCTGGCTGCTCTGTGAGGGTGAAAGAGTCAGTGCTCTGAGGAGCTGCCCATGAGACAACACCAATAAGGTATGAAACTTTTGTGATAAGGAGACAACAGTATGGAACTTTTGCAATATGATGACAATAATTCCACATGCAGATAATTTTTCAAGCTCTGCATCAGACACTCTCTGGTCAGAGCATGTTTACCACAATGCCCAGTGTAGCTGTGAATCACAGTCTGAAGAGATGTACTGGAAATAGGGTTGCACTATGAGCTGTTGTCTTCCCTCTCATTTAGGGAGGTCTCTAATGATTGGATCTTCTGGACAACCATAAAACTCTGTTTTGCTGCCATGAAATGTTAAGCATAGTTGTTGCTGCCATGAGCTTTTAGTTAGGCTGGGAAACTGCTCCAGGAGCAGTCTGAGACTGGGATGTAGGAGTAGGAAAGAGCAGTACTGGAGCAGCAATAAGGGAAAAAATCCAGCATGCAGGAGCAGTTCTTCTGTTTATAGTGGAGGGATTATAGCAAGCAAGGCATAGGTGCTGCATGAGTGGAGATCAATATGAATTCCATCCCTTACAGGCACATCGATCTCGGGCACGCACATCACTCGTAATCTCCTGCTGTAACTGGCAAACCAAAGTGTAAAAAACGAGGCTGGCAGGGCTGAGCTAGGAGATTAAAGAAGAAAAATGTTAAGAGGTATGCATTTTTGGTTCTTGAGATGTGAAAAGCACAAGGTCATCTGCTGTTGTGACTAGGTTGACTATAAAGTCTAAGTGACTCATTGATTTCATACACCTAGCCCATAAAATATTTTGGTTTATATGATATAATCTTCCTTTCCATTAACCTGAACCGAGTCACTTTGTAAGCAGCTTGAGTTTAGCATATCAGTCAAAGATTGATTGTGCCTGGGAAGTGTGTCTAGGTTTGGGAGGACACTGTTTATGGGTTTTTCAGAGTTTTTAGAGTTGAGTAAAAAAAATTGTAGAAATATCTGTGAATTGGTAAGTAGCTTTCTCTGTTGTTTGGGGGTTTTTTTGCTTTGTTTTTTTGAAAGCAACATTCAGTAAAGAGCAAAGGTCTGACATCCCTTTTAGTCTTTCCACTTCAAAGAAGTCAGTAATACCAGCAGGAAGAATTGACCTTGTTTATATCAATACCATTCTATGAATAAAACTAAATGGCATCTTTGATCTTTGAGTTGGTTGTGACTAATTGTGCAGTCTGCATGGATGAATATAGGCAGGCAAGTCCTTGTGAAGCAAACACAAGCACTTAATCTTTGGTGGAGAGTAAGGAGATTTATTATAGAATGCAAACCCCTTTCTTTTAAAGAGCAAGCAAATCTTGCTCCAAAAATAACATTTCAAGACAAACCCCGGATATGTTCACTGACCATGTTAAGAGTGTGTAGGTAAAAACTAGAGGTGTGCTATTGGGTGGAGGTTCTAGTGCAGGACCTGAGCAGCCTGATTTATTTGTGTGTGTTGTCCCCACTTCACACAAAAGAGTCAGATAATGGGGTTATGCCAGTATGAGATTAAAAAGGGTGTGTCAAAGATGTATGCAATGACTGACACATGGAAGGAGTTCAGGAAATCACTTTGAATAAGAAGTTTAGTGATATTTCATATTGACATGAGGTCAGGTACAAGTTCCCCATTAAGCAGCATGAGCATAACTCTGGTTCCTTTCTCTCCCTCTGTATTTCCTCGGTGATATCTGTACTGTTTCTGCAAAGGTTGTATTTCTGTGCCTCCTGGGAGGCAGGGCACAGGTGAAGTAGGCAGTGGGGACCAGGCTGATCTGCTCCTCTAGGTGTGCCCATGCACACCTGTTGAGCTATTCCTGTGTTTGTGTTCTAAATTGTCCAAGAAAGGGCCTTTATGATTGATTGTAGCTCTCTCTGCACTGGCTGCCATCCTGAGCATGCAGTCTGGCACCTTTTCAGGATTTCTGCCTGGCCCATGGCTGTAGGAGCCCTAAGCCTTGAGTTTTATACAAACTGCTGCTCTTTCACAGGCTTTGAAAGCTCCATGTGAGTGATTCACTGAAAAAGGCTGTTTAGTGATTCTGCCAAGTGCAAAAGGGAAGCTGAGAAAACAGAGAAAAATGAGAGATGTCAGCAAATATAACTCTCCCCTCACTTGTGCAATGTTTTTTTTCTCTGACTCTGTGGAGATGAAGATGTCTTTTGTTCCTGTCTCAGCATTTATTCCCAAGCCAGTGCCTAAGGAGATTACTGAAGCCACTCCAGAGTGCCAGTTTATCCACAGTGCTTGTGTACCTTAACTCTCTCAATCCAGAGCTCACAGTATTTGTATTTATTTGTTTACCTTTGTAAAACAGCATTTAAACGTAATTGTTTATGTACTTAGGTTAAGACTCTGATTTTTGTTGCTGCTGTACAGATCTCATTGTACTGTCACTGCTCATGTTGCACCATGACACGTTTTTGGTAACTAATGTTCAGCATTGAGATTGTGTTAACTTCTGGGGATGGGGAGAAGGACAATTAGTTTTAATACATAGGGCTATTTGGGATTGAAATCTTCAAGTCTGACACAGATGGCAAGAGACTGTCAGTGTGTTTTACTACAAATTAATCTTTCCAAGCTATGCTGAAATGCGATATTTTTAAATGAACTTTTAAATGCATTGTAATCTGCTGTTCTGTGGGAGCCTTAGACAAGTATCTCATCACCTGAAAATTGTATGAGTGGGGCATCAGAGACATGGCATTACCCTTGCTTTGATTTATCATGATTAAGGACATAGCTAAATTAATTTGGAGTGCTTTCCTGCATGCATGGCGGTACAAAATACAGAGAGGTTAAAATGGATGGGTGAAACTAATACTTCGCTTTTGTATCAAGCCCTCCACACAATCTATTGATTAATGAGTAAGGTACTACATGCAAAACAAAATTTATTCAAAGCATGACTCATTTTGCAGTGAAAGAATTGCTTGGAAAATTCATAGGGGGCGTTTTTGTGGGACATTATTTCATCTGAAAGAGCTGCTTCAGAAGTGCCTTGGCCCTTGGCCATCACACCACAACTGCTTCTGGCCAGAGCAGTGCTTCCTAGAATGTATGAAAATGTTAGCCTGGCACACTTACACACAACTAAAGCAAATTCCCATCTGTGAAACAACATGCCACCTCACCTGAGAAAAGATGAGTCTGATTTTGAATAGCTAGAATTTTTGAATTCTTTCTGTAGAGGCAGTTGCAGTAGGAAGGATGATTAACCAAATATACATAGTTTTGGAAGAAGCTTTTTTTTTTCTTTCTTGTTGACAACCCTGTGATCAGAGTGATGCCATCCATGCAAAAGGAAGTGTTTCCTAATTGGCTTATAGGTAACTGGAGGAGAAAACAATTAAACACAGACAGGTATAATAACAGCCATCCATCAAAATAAATGATTCTGTAAGTCTGAGAGCTCTGGGTGTCCTGTTAGTTCCTTCTCTGAATTTAAACAAGGGCCACTGAGGCCAGCTCTCTGCAGGCAGAGACTACTCCTGACATTTCTCAGCAGGATGACAGTGAGCTCCAGGCTTCCCCTCACTTACTGTGAGCAGAGAAGAGCCCAGGGGGCCTTTTTTTGGAATCCCTACTTGAAGATACCAGTTTGAGCTGTTATTTTATTATTTAGTTGTTGCACAGAGAATAATTTACGTAATTTGGATGGCTGAGGTTGTGCAGTGGGAAGCTAGAGGTTGAGCCCATAGGAAAGCTGCTGTGAGTGTGGGGTGGCCTCAGTCCCAGTTCAGGTGGGTGCCAGTGGCTCCTGGATGCCTGGGCAGGAAATTTCAGCCCTTGAAAACTTCCATAGTGACCCTTGGGAGTTGCTATGACCCATTGCCTCCTTCAGCCCCCTCAAGAATAGGGCTGAAGGAGGCAGTGGGTCATAGTGACCCCCAAAAGCAGCACAGGGCAATGCTGTGGTGTGCTGCAGCAGAAAACAGAGGGAGGCAGACGAGATGGGGCTGATGGAGCAGCATGGGGGCGAGGAAGGGACAGAGGAGAGAGCCTGGGATGTGGCAGGGACTTCACCTGGGTAAGGGAACAAATCCTGCCTTTGGAGCAAATCTGACCCCTGTGCCTCTCTGAAGTGATTGGTGCAAGGACAGGAATCTTGCTGGTTGCTAGCAGCAATTCCTAGTTCATGAAATATGTGCTTCTCACTGCGAAGTTAATTTATTAGAATGCAGCAAAATAAGCTCAATTACTCAAAAACTGAGCAATGAGATTTGCTTGTTGGTTTGCTTTTGTATTTGTCAGTAAAATTAAAACATCTTTCAGAACTAGACAGAATCAAAGTATATTAACTTAATTGGCATGTTATGTAGATTAATAAAGTTTAATGCTTGAAGGTTGTGAGTATACTTAGAGTTTATTATGACTGTTAATCAGAATTAAATGCTCTGAGGAAATTTCAAAGCCATAAGGACTTTTCTACTCATATAAGCCCTTTGGTATTAACTTACTGCCGATACATCAGCTTGTCATAAAAATGTAAATGAGGAGTGTATGGGTACTGCAATATCCTTTTAGCATGAATTTCTTATATGCTTTTTCTGGGAGAGTCTGATTTGCACACAGAATCTGCCAGCAGTAGAATGCTTGCATGGTTATTTGGTGCTGTTTTCTGAGATCCTGAAGTTGTCCCTGGGTGTCCCAGAGCACAGAGAACAGGTCCTTGGATTGTGCTTTGGTTTATTTTCGTTCTTAATTCACACCATATTTTTTAGAAGATTCAGATAAACTGTGACTGTTTTGAATTTGGCACAGGTACAAGTTGTGTCTTGATGGTTAAAAGTGGAGTTCAGTTATGGGATGAGAAATATTAAAACTTTCGGGGCCATAGGGAAGACGTTTTTGTTTTAAAATCTGCTACATGGAGTATCAGGTTTTGTGGCATTGAGTAGTGCAGGATAAAGGAAATATTTTGCTTTGCTCTTTGAATACCTTGTTAGAAACTCATATTAAGGGCACAGGAGTCAACAGCAGTTTTAGAATTTTGATTATAAATATTTCAAAATATCCAACCTTTTTCAATTCCTTCTTTAATCTTCTAGCTTATAAATTCAAGATTAACTTTGTGACTAATTCTACAAACCTTGGTGGAATTTTGCCCAAGGATAAATTATCTCAGGATGTTGAATTACATAATTTCTAAACAGAGGTGCTTTCTTAGCAAACCTATAAACTCTTTTAACTCCGTTAAAAGCAGTACAGAAGTAAGGGATCCTTGTTGTTTTGTGCTGAAAATGCAAAAGTAATCTCTAGAGTTCCTCATCCCTTGCCAGTTTTGTTCCTATTGTGTGTACAGTAAATTTCATAAAATATTAACCTATAGTAAATATTTAATACATAATTTATTTGCATTATATAAGTTCACTCACCAATATATGAAGTGCTGAATAGATTGTTATATAAATATTTTAAAGTGACAAATATATAAATATTTAAATGGTCAATATAAATATTTTAAATGTAGGAACAAGGACCACATTCTCCCTTTTTTCCCTTAGAGTTGAGTAGGTGTAATTGCTGACAGCACTTTACTCTGCAATTTTAAAGTAAAAGCCTTAGACAAAGAAATGTGTGTTTTCATTTATGTCAGTAAACTTTGGACTAGGTCAGTAAATTAAATATAGTGAATTTCAGTATTTCATAAGGACAAAAATTTTATTATGATTTTATGCATTGAATAGAATTTGAGGAATATTACAAAGAAACAGGGCAAGTATTAGCTTAAATTGAAAATGAGAATGATTATAAATGTATTGGTTTTAGCTGGTTTCATAAAATTGTAAGGCTAATACAAATGAGAAGACTTGGGTGAGAGAATCAGTTTTTGACTAATAGGAAATGAGAAGAAAGTTCTTTGAAAGTTATTTTTTTAACATCTTTTAGCATAAGAACAGGAAAAATTGATGTCCAGATTAATCTTCCAGCTTTTGTTTTTCTATACAAATATCCCTGCAAGCTATTGGGGAAGATGAGTAACATTATAAAATTTACAAAGAGATATTAAATGCTGTATTTGCCAAACTAATTTAAAAATTAATACATGTAAAGGGATAGTACACTTAGGAAGAAATGGTATGAATTTCCTTTGGTCAGCCTGATGCTGTTTGATGCTTTGTGTGCCTACATGGAACTTGTCCCAACAAGGAGAAGCCCAGCAGACATCCTGGGACACCCAAGAGTGTGAACATTTTAGCAGTTGCACCTAAAATACTCATATTATGTACAGAGGAGGAAGTGATTCATGCATTTGTGAATGAGACAGGACAGCCCATCCATCATTTCCTGGAGGAAACAACAAATTCACTTTAGAGAACTTGAGAAACTTGCTGAACGATATAGTTGTTTATAACCATTGGTGGTGATTGTATTATTTTTCTTTCCTTTTTATTCCCCATTTTAATGAAAGTTTCTTTTTCAAATAGTGTGACACAGAAAGAATCATTATTTGTTTGGGGCTAATTAAAGCCACAATTATATAAGCTGTCAAACAGTTGAAAATTAGGAAGTTTCTGCTTGACTTCTTTAAAGATATCTCTTATTAACAAGTCTAAATTCCTGTGCACTGTCCAAGAACAAAACCAATCAGCTCTGAATAACTTATTATTTCTATATTAATTAAGCTTAATCATCCTGCTAAAAAAACCCACACAGATGCTAAAGTTTATCGTCAGATCAGCCGACATTTGTTGCCTCTTGTGGCATGAAAAACTTATTAAATACATGATGCTGAGCTGTGCTTTCTTTTGTTTAAGCAGAAGCAAAACCACAGACAAAGTCAAACTTTCTTACTTGGAACTGCACTAGACAGCTTTTGTGAACATCCCAACATTTGCAGAAAGAAAACTTTGTGTGAGAATTTATTGCAAAATAGGAATGGCCTGTTTAGAGAAGATGATTCTGTCAAAGCTGTGCTGGTGCTTTCTGGGTGCAAATGAGAGGTGAAGTGTTTTGGGGGCAGCATTGCTGAGGGGATGGGGAGAGGCTGTGCAGCCAGAGAGTCTCAGAGATCTGCCAGGAGGGCAGGCTGCACTGCCAGCTGCAGGCAAGGTTTGGTGCCTTCCTTGGTGCTGAAGAGATCAGGTGAGCTTCCTTCAGGTCAGGCTAAGCACACGTGGAGTTGTGTGTTGGAACATCTGAGCAGTTGAGCTGCATCCCCTGCAGAGTGCTGCGTGCTGGTGGATTGCACAAGGGAGGAACCAGATGCCCAAATCTCTTCACAGCTCCTCAGAACTGACAGCTGTCAGGGTCTGAGCAGCCCAATCCCAGCCTGATTGGCTCAGGACCAAGACAGGTGCACCTAAAGGTAATAAAGAGCTGGTTTGAAGCACTCATGATGTGGGTGCACAAAGGCACATGGACCAGTATTGTATTTGTATTCTATTGTATTTGTGGGGTGCCCCAATGAAGGCAGGAATAATGAATCTGTCTCCATGTTCTCAGAAGGTTAATTTGATTTTATGATACTATATTATATTAAAGAATACTCAACTACACTAAAGAATACAAAAAGGATACTTACAGAAGGCTGAAAAGATAATAATGAACACTCATAACTCTTTTGAGAGTCCAACACAGCTTGGCACTGGTTGGCTATTGAGTCAAAACAATTTGCAGCAGAAACCAATGAAACAATCTCCAATCACATTCCACATGTGAGCAAAACAGAGGAGAAGCAAATGAGAATTTTTTTCTGTTTTCTCTAAGGCTTCTCAGCTTCCCAGGAGAAAAATCCTGGGCAAAGGGATTTTTCAGAAAATATGAATGTGACAGACCAGATATGAATGTTATTGTTTTGCAGCTTAATGTGGACACTTTATGATGGACTGAAGAAGTTAGAAGGATTTTTTTTTTTTAAATATTGCAGAGTAGAATTAGAAAGGGAGAATAGTTAATTTTACCCCCTGAAATGCAGCATGATTGGGTCAAGCTGAATCTGACTTACTGCACAAATTAACACTCTTCTGTTTGCAAATAGTAGACAAGTCATGTTCCAAATGCTTGAATATGAATCAGTGGAAATGACCTGCTCACTAGTAAAAAACAATGGTTCATAATAGTTCATTGCAGGCATTCAGAAATTAAAGAATGATTACTTAATTTTGGTAAATACATTCCCAGATGCCTTAGTTTTCTCTCTTGTGTCATGTAAGAGTTACATGATAATATCACAGTAACAACTTCAGGAGCTCCTTTAGAAACATAAATTTATAGTGGATGGGAATTTTGAGTGAAGTTTACACATTAACAATGTATTATGCAGTGTTGGCTTGAATTTGCTGGCTCTATTATGTGTGAACTCTTTTCAATCAAAGGCATGATAGAAATACCTTTATCTTCCTAGACCCTGTACTTTTTAGTTGATAGAGTTTGATTATGCAGATGTTAATTCTATAGTAAAGTTGACTGGGCTGGCACAGGTTGTTACTCCATCATGCAGGAAAGTAAAGAATATAATCTACTTGTTGAGGAGTAAGGGAAGTAAGATAAGGAAGGTAATAGATGTTGATGTAGTTCTTCAGATCTGGAGAGATGCCTTTAATTATAGCTTGCTTGATTGGACTTTGTCAAAGCTGATTACATTTTTCCTCATGAGTATTAGTGTTCATTTGAAGTTAAATGGACTGCACCTTCACATTTTGAACATACCCCAATGGTAGCAGATCCCACAAAGGAAAAATAATAGGTCTCAACTCAGAGAGGTGGTGCCAAGTACAGGTGGTGCAGTAGCCTTCCTGGGGATTATGCAGCTGCTTAAACTTTAAAACATGCCTTAATATAAAATTGACCTCACATACAACTAGGCTTCAAATTAGTCTGAGAGTGAATCAGTGGAAAAAAACTGCTTTCCTTAGCCAGGGAAGTATTTCAAGTTCAAATAGATGTAGTTTCAAAAGAGCTGATAAGTATTTCTTGGGTTATTATTAAAATTACCAAGATCTGTCTTTTTATTGAAGATGCACTTTTAAAATCCAGATTCCACACATGGTTTAATCACTTAGCATAATGGTAAAGTGGGTACTCACAGGCATGTGTTACAAGGACATACTCATATTTGGGAACGTTTGTGAGATCTTGTTTGTTTTGGTAGAGATGGAGTTTAGTAATGTTTAGATTCCTACAAGATAAACAAAAACACTTTCCTTGTCCTCTAGTGAAAGACCAGATAGTTGAGCAGCACGAAATACAAATGAAATCTGTAACTTATAAATACTTTAAATGAAAAAAGAAATAAAATTGAAAAAAGTAAAGTAGAAATGAGTCTCTTTGCTGCAGTGGAGCTCCCTGTTTTTTAGCCAGTGCAAATGTCTGTCAAATAACACACCCCAGTCAAATTACTGTCATTGTTAGATTGCTTCTCTACAGAGGCTTATGCTCTTAGGTTTGAGTTATCATTTAGAAAAAATGGTATTTCAGAAGACCAATTTTTGCCAAGTGCTTCAGGGTCCTTTGAGAGCAGGTCCTTGTTGTACAAAAGTACTGTAGGTATGTACTTTAGGGAGAGGTGTTGTGATGTTGATAGTAAGGCAATAAAAACTACTTGAGGGAATCAAGGCACAGAAAAATTAAGCTCTCTTGGAAACAGCTAGTTGAGATAACTTCAGATTTCTCCTTAGCCCCTTCCTACATAAACTGGTTATTCTTGCACTTCAGGGACAACTAAGAACAAATCTTTGCAGCAAAATGAAAAGATGGAGAGAGCACTGCCTGTAGCCAGCCCTACAACCATGGGGCTTCAGCCAAGCAGAGCAGAGGAGTGTTCCAGTGCTGCAGAGAGGTCTCTGGACTTCTCACAGATCATGGGGCTCTGCCAGCACTTCTGAAGTGGAAGCAATTTGTAAACACAGTGTACAAGGGAGAGCAGCAAGCCTTTGTTTGTAAATCTATGTAGCATTGTGTTGAATTTCTATGTTATGTACTTGGCTTAAAGGGAAGGAGTGAAGTACATTTTAAAAAAAATATTTCTCTCATAAGGAAATAAGACAAAGTATTCTATCCACAAATGCCTGTTCAAGCTGCTTCTTGCAGCTTCTGTGTGATGATTGATTTCTGAAGGCTCTTGGGAGAAAAAAGGCTATCAGCAAAGGCTGAGTTCCTCCCAGAAAAACCCCTTTTTCTCAGCAAAAGAGAGCCAGTCACTTGCACAAATGCCTTCTGGCTTTTTCTGATGCCTGATATATCTTTGAATGTCTGTTATTAACACATGAGAGACCTGAAGAAAGTTCACTGGAATGGGTAAGAAGGGAAAGAAAAATCCAAGTGAGGTCAGACGCAGCAGATCCTTTGGCCCCTATTTGCATGTTGTCCTTTCTAGTGTGTTGTAGTTAGTTCAGATTTTGCTTCCAGATGAACTGAAGGCTGATACCATGTGCTGTGGCTCAAGGCAAAAGAAATACACACTTTTCCAGTGGTTTCATTAGACTGACTGTAGCACAGAAAGAAAAGAGGGAGGAAATGCATCAGCTTTGCAGGGCATCCTTAGAGGGAGTGTGTTATCTGTTTGTGTTAAAAGAACAGTTCTGCTCTCATAAATCCTCAGGGGATTTCTCACCCCTGAGCTTTGGAGAAAGCAGGATGCAGTAGTGCAGTGCAGGAGGAGTAGAGCTGTGCTGGCTTAGTCTAACATGCACCTTGTGCCAGCATGAGCACTGGGCTAATTACCAGTCCCTTTAGTCCTGGAATTACAGCTGGAATATTACAAAAATACAGTCCTGCAATATTAGTCCTGGAATTGCAACTGCTTATATTAATATTGAATTTGGGGAACTCCCTTTGCTTTGTAGAGATAGGCACAGAAAGGAAGCATTTTAATGTCAGTAGTAGAAGATAAAACAGTTTTATTGATCATGGGACAAACCAAATAATCTCTGCTGGAATATTTAAGTGGAAAGATGCTCTGAATAACAATCACACCTGAGAGTTTTTCCTCTTTTTAAGATAAGAGGTGTGGTCTTAGGAAGAAATTATTGCATTTTACCGTTGAGTGCAGTCCTAGTAGGATGAAATTCAACAAAAATCCCATAATCCTGGATAAAGTCTAGATTATGAAAGCTGTAGTCTTTTGACAGTCTAGAGTATCTCTGTGTAGGTAAAGAAGCTTGTGCTTTATGAAGGTGAATGGAGTATGTGTCTGGAAGTACCATTTTCTGCTCTACAAGCAGGTGTGCAGGACAGGGGCTGCCAGTACAGACACACTGACACAGTTCACACACAATTCACTGTTCTCATGCTGTGTATTCACAGGGTATTGGCAAAAAGATATCTTGGGGTTTTTTTGCTTAGCAGTTTAATCTCTTCATAAATTTAAAGTGAAATCCAAGCCTTGTGGTGAGGTTGTGTCTGTGTTCAGGGCTTTTCCAGCAGGGCTGCCAGCACCCCTGGGATTGCCTACCTGTATGCCTCACTTCCCCTCCCTCCTCTTGGCTCATCTTCTACAAAGGTATTTTGGCAGAGGTTTCTAGTATAGGTCACTTATAACTGAATTTTACCTTTCTACTGCTTTTACTTCTGTCACAGGCAGAAATCAGTAAGGAGACATGCCATAGGAACAGCAGCAGATACCTGACTGCCTCATGCCACTGGCATGCAATACCTCAAAGTAAAACTTGCTTTCCATCAAGAAGAAATTGTCTGGATTATTACTCTTTCATGAAAAGTTATTAATTTGATATGACTTGTCAATCTTATGCTCTTTATTAGTTGCTGTACAGTGGACATTTAGAATCAGTGGGGCTGAATGCTGTGTAAAATGGGAACAGATTTAAAACCCACAACCAAAACTTAAAGAAAATAAAAGGGTATGTTTAAGTTCTCAAGAATTTTTGATCTTGATGCTCCAAAAATGGTGTTTATTTTTGTTGCATTTCAGAAATCTTCAGGATTTTATTTTTGCTGTGAGATTTAGGATTCAGTAGGACCCAGACCTTAAGAGAATTTTTATACTCTTTAAAAATGTTGTGGGCAGTAAAAGCTGGCAATATTTTTAATGTCTGAATGTTTTAGGATCTCTGGCTTATTTTGTTTTAACAGTTGGTTGGCAGCTTTGGGCCCAGTATGCAGTAAAAGCTGGCAATATTTTTAATGTCTGTTGAATGTTTTAGGATCTCTGGCTGATTTTGTTTTAACAGTTGGTTGGCAGCTTCGGGCCCAGTATGAAGTGATCATGGTTGACATCACAGGATGGTGACACCTTTAATTCAGTATGGTAACAGCCTCTTCCTTAAAGAGGGGAAGGGAGATGTGTGAAGATCTCTCTATTAGAGAGATGCACTATTGGCAGAGAGTTAAAGGATTGGGTACCTCATAATTCATTACTTAGATTATATTTTTTGCTAGCTGCTTTGAAAAACAAGAAGGAGAAAAAGGTGAAGGATTTAAACTTCTAATCTCAGTTAATTGAAGAATTATTTTTCTCCCTGCAGCAAATTTTTACTTGCATTTAAAAGCTGAAGGATTCACATTGTACATTCACTTGAAAATAAAAGATTTGGGATTTCAAAATTACTGTCCTCTTGACTTTTTATCCCTCGTTCTTGGTTATGGCCTGACTAGGCTCTATCTGCTATGTTCTCTCCTGATTCCTTCTGCTGAGCTATCCTAGTGAAGCACAGGAGTCTTGGCTTGCCCTTGTCACTGTTGTGGTTCATAAATCAGGCTGAGGAGAGCTGCAGTGCCAGGCACCCCTGTTCAGGCTGCTGTGTCAGTGCTTCCATTCCAGAAATGCTTTGATCTCTCTCTTCTGATTTTAATCAAATGCTGACTTCTCCATAGATGAAGAAACATCTTTAATTTTTAATTTTTTTTTTTAATGAAAAGTGATTCTGAGGTGAACTAACACTTTTCTTGGCAAAGCAGTACTTTAGAAGAGAGATTTTCCTTTAGTTTGAGTTTTGGGTTTTCTGTAGGTTCCCTCCACACACACCATACATGTTTTCATGTACCAAGTCGTATGTGAGTTTCTGCATGTGTTGTTCTTTCACTCTGCCCCTCTGCTTGGGCTCTTTGTTCAAGACAGGGAAAAGGATAAACTTTTAGGTGTTACTTACATTACAGAAAACAGCTTTTACTCTGAGAGAAATGCTTTTGTCCAGTGAATATTTCTGATTTTCCTTTTAATACTTTGGAAGCAGCTTCTACTTGTATTCTGGTTTTGAAATGTGTCCAATAGTAGCAGTAAGTACCTTTCAAATTGGAGTCAAAATGCTGTATCAGAAGGAGTACAAATAGTGCATTATTTTCTTGTGACTTGACCTGTAGGCTCAGTGTTACTAAAGATGCATGCACAAAGGCAGATTTTGACTGTATAGAGTTCAATTTCTTATCAAGTCAGTTTTTAAAAAACTCTCACTATTAGAGAAAGGATAAACTTTTAGGTGTTACTTACATTACAGAAAACAGCTTTTACTCTGAGAGAAATGCTTTTGTCCAGTGAATATTTCTGATTTTCCTTTTAATACTTTGGAAGCAGCTTCTACTTGTATTCTGGTTTTGAAATGTGTCCAATAGTAGCAGTAAGTACCTTTCAAATTGGAGTCAAAATGCTGTATCAGGAGGAGTACAAATAGTGCATTATTTTCTTGTGACTTGACCTGTAGGCTCAGTGTTACTAAAGATGCATGTACAAAGGCAGATTTTGACTGTATACAGTTCAATTTCTTATCAAATCAGTTTTTAAAAAAACTCTCACTATTAGACGTGTGTCCTGGAGTGTAGTTAGTGTTTGGTATCTGGAATGTGAGTCGTTACTCAGATTTGATTTACAGGTGTTGTTTGTTATGTAGATAAATCAGATTGGATTGGAAATGCTTCTGTGTGACTAAAAATTTTACTTTCAATATTCTGCAGCTACTGATTTGTCCCAAATTTCTTGCAATAAAAGAGGATAAAGTTTTGTAGCTGTGGGGAAGCTATGATGGGTGGCTATTGGCAAATGCCAGTAGGCAGCAAATGATTAGATTTCCACAGGGTGGATCTGGGGAAGGGGTATGAGGTGAACTTCCAGGAGGATCAGGAAGAAAAAAATCTCCCTTAAAGATGGGGTTTATTTTTTCAGAGAATGAATCATGACTGATACCCCCTCTACAGGAGGGGTTCTCTTTATAATTTTGTCATTATGTGATCTGGACTAACTTCCCTACCATGTGTTGGTTAAGCCAGTTCACATTTTCCTTCAGATTCCCAGGAGGTCAAAGAATTAACTGTGCAAAATTTTGCTGCTTTTTTTTTTTTAAACTCCAGAACTTTGCTATAGATGTTTGCAAGCTTGACTTGTACAAAAGCCTGAGAAGGATCTTTTTATTTGACAACAGCTGAATAAGTTCAGAAGTATAAACTCCAGAGATAACAACTTATTATTGTGCTTGCATTTTATTTAGCAAGATTTGTTTTTACAGCAACTGATGTGAGACCTGATGAGAAATGAGGTACCTTCACAGCCTGTGTTTCCCACCAGCTCAGATGCCAAATGCTTCACGAAACTACAAGTTGTATTCAGTGACTATCAGTGACTCACTGTCATTTTGATAGCACCACTTCATTCTGATGTTTCACTCTGGTACTTTTTTAAAGAGAAGGTGTCCTATAAAATGCGAGAATGGGGCAGTGGGAAATTAGGGGCTCTTCATGCTCTTAGGCTGTGCTGTAAATCATTATTTAAACTGCTTTTTAGTTCCCTTTGACTGGCATGTTTCTATTTGCTAACTTGCTTTAACTAACTCTGTGCTAGAGGTGTGCCTCTAGTTGAGCTGTTATGGAGAGTTTCTGACAATTTTAAGGTGTTTCTGAAGATGAAGTTAGGA